TCGAGAGCAAATACCAATTTTGGTCCCACAAGTATTAGCAAAATGACAGTTTTCGTCCACATGTTTAATTCCTACCAATTTTCATCCACAACTATTGTTTTAGTACCAATTTTCATCCACAACTATTGTTTTAGTACCAATTTTCATCCACGACTATTGTTTTAGTGCCAAAATTCATCACATCAGTCACTCATTCGGTTAATACATGCTGAAATTTAAAAATTTTAAGGGTATTTTCACATTTTCAACTTAAGGTCCCAATTTGAGCATGAATAATGATATTTAAGCCCTAAGATCGATCTCAATTCACAGTTATCCTCCTCAAACTAAGGTAGATAAGGAGGAGAACTGTGAATTGGGATTGATCTTAGCGCTTAAATCTCATTATTCATGCTCAAATTGGGACTTTAGGTTGAAAAGGACAACAATACCCATAAAAATTTTAGATTTTGGCATGTATTAAACGAATGAGTGACCGACGTGATGAATTCTGGCACTAAAATAATAGTCGTGGATGAAAATTTGTACTAAAACAATAGTCGTGGATGAAAATTGGTAGAAATTAAACATGTGGACTAAAAATGTCATTTTGCTAATACTCGTGGGACCAAAATTGGTATTTGATCTATTTTTCGATGACAAAGAAGAGACTTTTTTTTTTTTTTTTTTAAAGCTATAGCTATAGTAGATGATTCACATAATTATTGTAACAATATCTAATGTAACCATAAATTTCAAATTATTGATTATCATCCTCTATTGACAACAATTGTCATTGACAAACTAACAAAACAATTTGTCTCAACAACAAATGAAAATAATAAAAAAAAAATTAATGACTTAATTGTTGTGGATGAAAAGTAAGTACCCCACTTTATTACTCTTATTAAATTAAATAAATTTGTAGCTACAACAAAAAAAAAAATAATACATATGCATTTAATTAATTTAGAATTAGATGTCTATAATGTCTTTATTTAAAAAAAATATGCATTATAAAAAATTAAAAAGAGATATAATTTCATTAATTATATTATCTTTATTTTCTACTATACAATTCAAAGATTTATTACCTTCAAATTTATTAATTAATTTTATTCTACATTGTCCATTGTCTTCATTTTACACTATTTTATAATTAAATATCAAAGTTATAATACAAAATATGTTATATATTTATTTACCAAGTATTTTATAAAAATATAATAAATATTAATATTTTGTTCAATACTTTCACATGATAATCTACGACACACATCTCACAACATATGAAACATGTAGGGGGAAATATTACGACTGTCAAATATCAGCAGACACTTGCAAGATAAAGAGTTCATAGTACAACTAAGATATCAATCATATACACAACACGGCAAATCAAAAACTTCCTACACCATAATCTGATTGTATAACGCTAACCTCTATGCTACCCACCAGTAACCCAATTGCACATGATACACTACAAATAAAAAATAAATAAATAAAGAGGACAAGTACTGGAGATTGAAGACAATGACAATGCTACCTGTTGGTTTTAGGATTTTCGGGCCCAGGGAGGTCCAACACAACCTTGGTTGGTGGATACACCTTTCACATGCGACTTATAAAAAAATAGGTGGAACAAATATAACTCAATGCTTTTTGTACGTGGAAATCGAAAGGAAAACCACGGGCCTTTTTGGGCGGTGCCAAGCCTAACTCCACTATGTATTTTGTAGGTGTCTTCGTACATATTGTAGAGCCATTTTGTACATGTAATATGGAAATATTGTGTAGGGAGAGAGCTATACTTTTTATATAGGGAGGAAGTATTTTTCTTGATCTTCTTTGTTGAAAGAGTGTGTATGATGATGCCTTCTTGTTGAGACGAGGGATGACGGAGTCTTCTCCCTTGGAAGAGTGATGAGTCTTCTCATGTGTGTAAATGAGTGGATGGAGTCTTCTTGAGAGAGTTTTTGGGGAAGAGTGATATGTGACCTTCTAGTATGTAAGAATGGATGTCCCCCACCTATTGCTCCTTTCCTCCTTTTATAGCAACAAGTTCAAGATTATGTCCGTTGTGCCATTAACAAGGATTTATTAGGCTAATAAGTATGTGTTTATGTGGGAGTTATGGGTTCTCAAATGTGGGTAGCCGTTGGCTAATTCATAGTGGTCAAGGGGATTTAATAGGGGAATTATGAATAATAAATTGGATAAATAAAAGGGGGTAATAACTTCGGGGGTTAGGATGAGGTAGGTAAACAGGGTAGTAAATATGGGTTAACGGCTAGTTTAGGCCGACCTTCTACTCGTGCCGACCCTGGGTCGAGCCGACTTCTCGGTTTGGCTCGTATCTCTTTTGGGCTTTTCCTCTTCTGGACTTGGTCATTCCTCTTGGGCCTTTTTTTCTTCTTCTGGACTTGATCTCTTTTTTTCTTGGGCCCCGAGCCCATGGGGTTCACACCACACCACTACCCAAAAGAGAATTAAGAAGACTTAGAGAAATTTAAATCAAAAGTAGGGTTTATCTAGACTATCGTCTTTAAACTAAGTATTTAGAATAGCGTTATTACAAAATTGTAAATATTTATTTTAGTGATAATTATAAATCAATCTCTCATATATTATCTTGTATTTATATACTTTGAATTAGTTATTTAAAGAAACAAATTCAGCATTCAATTACCTATGCATGAACATCTCCTTTATAATCTTGCATTGATACTTTAAAGTACTTATTTAAAAATAATCATTGGGCATCTCATTCGCGCAATGAGCGCCTAAAAGCCTAGTAATAATAATAAGTGATGGTTGTGGTTTTGGTGGTTGTGTTGTGGTGGTGGTGATAGAGGTGTCAAATGTACGGGTTATCACAAAGTACAGTCCAAGACCGATTTGTTTGGGCTGACCGTTCGGTCCATTTGTTACAATGGACGAACTAGGACTAACCCGTTTTATACTATGAATAGGGCCGAACTTTAATCTTTTGGCCCCTGGACCGGCCAGACCCGGTCCAGCCTGTTGGCGCTTTTTTTTTTTTTTTTTTTTTTTTTTAATATAATATACCTATATACTCTAAATATAGTAATAACTAATGAGATTATCACATTAATTAAAAGTCTGTGATATTGATTTTTATGTCTATTAATTCTTATATATTATATATATTTACTATTTAGCTAGCTAATTGCCTAATTAGTATACTAATTAGGAATTACTACCTTAAAATATTTTGAAGTTGTAAAATTTTATATGTTTCAAATTGAAAAAATTACATTTACTATTTAGTAGTTGCAATTTGTAAACTTATTTCTTCCTAATGGTATTACAATATTAATTATTGATTTCTTTATTTTTTGTAATAATTCATAAGTTAAATAGTTAAAAATAAATATGTTAACTTGTAAAACTAATTTAGATGGAATACATAACTTAAATTAGTTGATTAATAAGTTTTAATATTTTTTATTTATTATTTTTAGGGACATGAACCGAGCTAGATTTTAATTTTTTTATTTGGACTGGGCCAGCTCGGTCCAAAAAATAAATAAACCAGTGGCAGGCCTGGCCAAGCCGGATCATGTCCGTCCGTTTGATACTTTTAAGTGGTGGTGGTGGTAATAATAATTCAAAAATTAACTTTAAAAGAGATGATAGAGAAAATAAATATTGAAAAATAAATAATTCAAAAAATGTATAATAATAATAATAATAATAATAATAATAATAATAAATAATAATAACAATAACAATAACAATAACAATAATTAAATTTCTACCCTTCTAATCTTCTATCGCTTCCCCAACTCCCCATTCCCCACGCCCTAGCTCAGGCACTCAGCCGACAGAAGACGAGACACGAAGACAGTCGAGTAGTCTTCGGTCTTGTCAATTTACTTAGCCGACAACTACCAATTATGTATGGATAAAACAAAGTAGTTTATTTTTAATTGGAACATGAATTTAAAATTAAATGGGTCAAATTTGAGGTCAAAATCAAGTCCGAACTCGAACCCAAAATCAAGCTAGAACTCGAGCTCAAGATCGAGTTCGAACAATCGAGCCGAGCTCGAGCTGCTCGAAAATTGCCGAGCTCGAGCTCGAGCATCAATTGTTGAGCTCGATCGAGCTCGAGCTCGGCTCGACTTGTTTACACCCCTATTTTGATAGTTGTGTGGTGGTGGTAGTAGTGTAGTGATTGTTTTTCGACTACAAATCTGTCAAATTGTTTTTTTTTTGTTAATCAGAATAAATATTTTTGTTGACTTTATTTTTCTAAATACCCAAATACAAGGAAATTCAAAAATGACTTACGAAAGTCATTTTTCGAGTTTAGAAATGGTATTATTAACGCAAGCGGGGCTTTTTTCTTCTCTTCCTGGGCTCTAAAAAAAAAAAAAAAAAAAAACTAACCATACATACTGGAATTTTTTTTTCTCTTTCTTCCCTCCTCCCTCTTTCAATTCATTCCCTCTCTCCTCCATGTGTGCAAATAAAATAAAATAAAACCACAAACAAATGACTGATGTATATATTTTTTTAAATTTGATAATCTAATTATACATTCATGTGTAATTCAGTGTTCTATTTAAAAAGTATTCCTTTATTTGGTCAAGATATTTTCCTCGACGGTAACCACAAACAAGTGGTCTGAGTGCCATGCCATCACTTCAACAACAACACACAACTGATCTGACGACAAGCCATGTGACAATGGACCCATTTACGTTGTTGGACACGGTGGATGGCGGACAGTGTCCCAACCTTTTCAACTGCCTCTGCAGCATGCCGCTTTGCCTTTCATGTCCTTCTGTCTCACCTATATTGTGCACGCATGAATTCCTACTTTTATTCCCACCGATAACATCTCATACATGGAATTCTAAATAATGTTGCATCATCCAGTTTTTATGGTATCTAATCAAAATTAGAGAAAATCTATATTTACGAGTATAAAAACGAAATTAAAATAATCAACAAAGTAGATTTATTCTTAGCTGCATGAAAATGGCAATAACTTGAACAAAATCAACAAAATTGCATTGATATTGATAAAAGGTTTACAGTAACAAGCACTAGCAAAGAACAGAAATAAACACCACCATGACATTTAAGAAAAAAAGACAACTAGAGCTGACCCTATATGAAGACCTAACGACAACACGATTAAATAACTGTATCTACAACTCAGCATAATATCTCCAGCAAAACCTCTTAACCCAACGATATAAATTTTGATCCAGACTGCAGTTTTAATACACTACCCGCACTTGATAGCGCTTATGGAAAGAGACTTACCTGATTCCAATTCACCACATTATATAGTCCACTCAGAGCTGCACTTCTCTATTATATATCCAGCTAAATGGGATGATGGGTCCTTGTTTGGCTCTACCTTGAGCTCTCTCCTCCAGTCTTCTGATTCTAGGGGGCAATCCACACACGTAGTCTTGAGCTTTTCTCCCTTCAGATGAAAGTCCTGTAATATCTCCCACTTTCCACCTGCCCACGAGAAACTCTAAAATATCTGCATAGTCTCTAGCTGTGTACACACCGAGCCGTTGAGCCACTGCTGAAAAGTGATCAAAGAGGTTATCATCATGGCCATCAAACATCAAGTGTGCTGGCATAGAGATTTTCTTCTTCATCATGTCTGCAAAGGCCAGTACAGTCCCATCAGGATCGATCTCAAAAAGCTTTTCCACTATCTTGGTGTAGGCAGTTTCATGGCGTTTCTCATCAGCGGCGATTGTGCCACAGATTTGAGCCAGTTTAATGTCCCCATACTCCTTAGCTTGTCTAGCAGTGTTACCATGGGAGATAAAAGTTGCCCTTTCTTGGAATGATGTGTAGATAAATCCAAGGTAAGGACTGTTTTCAGTCCGAGGATCCTAAAAGAATAATGAGATAGCTCAGAAAACATTAAAAGAACGCATTTAAAATGTTCAAGTGCAAAGAAAAAGATCAGTGAGGTATAGAAAACTATCATCATTAAATAAGAGAATTTAGAAAATGGTGCCAAAGATGCTTAATTGCCTATATGCTTTCCATCCCCCAAACAACCCCCACAGAAAATTGTAACAAGAATTGCATTTTTGTGAATACACAATTAAGATAGACAGGTGGGCCAAGTGGTCAGGTTAACTGTATTATCACAAAAGAAAATCAAGCTGCATCCATCAGCAGAAATTCATTAAAAGATTCATGGTGAAGCTTAATGCTTGAATAAATACTAAATACAGAGTAGTGTTTTTTTCACTCAAACAGCATGACCCATTTCTCTTCAGCATAAATACATTTAAAATAATGTTTTAGAGAGTTGATCAATGATAAAATACTAATGATACAAATCATGGAGAATAAAATACTTACCATTCCTGACCCAATCAAGTACTGAATTGTTTTCTCAATTGCTCTCATGTCAACTCGCCCAGAAAGGTACAGATATTTATTAAGGAGGTCACCATGCCTGTTCTCTTCAGCAGTCCAAGCCCTTGTCCAAACAGCCCAAGAGGTGGGGCTTGCACCTGTTTCATCCCTAACACCATCAAGTGTGTTGAGCATTGTTTGGTATGTTGGAAGAGCTTCTTCAGTGATCATATCTCCAACTAAAGCTACAAAGTAATCATCTGGAATCTCCCTAGCCCTCTCCCTTAGTTCCTTGACCTGATCATGAAAACCATCTGAAGCAGGGTCTGGTAGAAAATCCTGTGGTTGCCAACACTTTTCAACTGGCTTCAGATGAACTAATATATTTTCCTCAGCCCATTCCTCCATAGATTTGAAGATCTCAATTTTCTGAGGTGGCATAGAGTGTGTTACTTGAACATGGACCTCACGAGGTGGAGTAAAAGGCTTCTTCAGGTTCTCAACTTCCCTAAGCATACGAAAACAAGTTGGGGTGGGATGGGGGACAGGAATAAGAATTTGAAGCATAACATTTTTTAAAGAAAATAAAGTTATCAGAAATTTTCACAATAGGAAACAAGTGAAGATGTGGACAAACCAACAAATGAACATTTTTCAACATCTTATTTTGATCTCAACCATAAATAATGTATACTAGAGCAGCAGGGAACATTCACTTTAAAAGCGGATATCTAATTATGTTGTATGTCTTTACTCCAAAAGAGAAAAGAATCATTTGGTTGATATCAGGGATCACATTGCAGAGATTGCTGAGTCACACTCAAAAAACTAACAAATAATTGCTACACAAACAAAAGTACCCATTTCTAGGGTGGATCTAGGTAACAGATTTCTCATGTATTAACTAGACAGTCTTTGATAATTAGGCTTATGTGCCTGTAGCCTGTTAACTATACAGGATGTTAAAACTAGGAAAGATTAGAAACTTTTGAGCTCGGGTAAACTTCCTCTACATTTCTTTTGTAGCTCATGCCTCTCCTGTATCGCAAATACACAGGTTCATGCATTCACAATTTCTCATTAACACAGTGAGACTATTCTTTATAAAGTACTAATTTCCTTTCTAGCAAGGTGATCTAGATATTTGTCCATAAACATAGACTATAGGGAAGAAATATTTGCCGAATGTCTTCAAGCTCAAAGTTCTCCTTTTAAATAAACTATGCCCTACATTCTCTATGATTCTTTTATGAGCTTAGCTCTAAACGAACATCCAAACAAACAACCTATTAAAATAGCACTTGTTAAAATAGTCCCCACCCCTGCATCAGAACAGAGATGAAGAGAAACAGTAACAGAGGCTGAAACTGCTTTAACACCTATAAATGTTTTACAGGCTCAAAGGTTAAACATAAAATCTCTTGCCTCTACCCTGTCCACGGTGTGAATGTCCACACAATCATGCGTATATTTGTCCCTGAACAAGTGTTCTGCATTGAAATTTATGATAACTAAATATATTTTTCGTGGCTGAACTAAAGTGGGCAATAAAATGTTTGCATCCTAGAAGATCACATACGGTGAAGAACTAATGAATAATAAAATCTAACAAGTGACTGCACAAATCAGCTCAAGCTTATGTCAGTATATGCAAATATTTAAATGAACACATCATAAACCTCAAGGAAATCAGACAAAGTAGAACCTTTCAAAAACACTAAAGTTATTAAGTAAAAAGGAGAAGGAAAAGAAAATTAATTACTACCCATTAAAATACTATCTATAATCAACATTCATAATAATTCAAAATGTTTTATGAAAAACATCCCATTACCAGAATCACTAAACCTAACATTAATCTTTTACTTAAAATGCAACAATCAAATACAACCATTAGGTAATAAATTAACAAACATTTAATATGAGGAAACAAATTAAAAAGGAAAGATGATGACAATGCAGAAAAAAAAAAATGAAAAGAAGATTATAAGGCCCTACTTTATAGCATTATAACTGTATAGATAAGAAAGTAATACTATTTATGCAGCACTTTACAGCTATGAAAATTGGGAGGTGGATAAGTTGTTTTCAGGGTCTAATAATTTGAGAAAGCTGCAAGAAGTTTATTGCCATGGTCAAGGGCCAAGACCATAGTGACTATTACTATGATTCTAAGAAAGTAAGAGAAGAATTCTTCACAGCTACACCTATTTCAAATGTTGTACAGAAAAATGAAAGAACATGATAAATCAGTAGTATTTAGTTGGATTTTGTGCCAGGATAAAGTGTATGGCATTTTGAGATCTCAACTACTAGGGTGTAATGATTCTGAATCCATGGATCAGGTGTTCTCGATGGTTCAAAATGCATTAGGGAACACTAACAATGACAATATTTCCAACAAAACTGCTTTTGTGTCACAGGAAAATAACACTGGAGAGCATCACAGTAGCCAAAATGGAGGTCACTTAATGGGTTTAGAGGTTGTAGTGGACTAAGGACATGTTTCGATTGTGGAGAGCCAAGACATTTTCAGCATCAGTTTACAAAACCATGGGACAACAATTTTATCATCAACATTCAACAGGGATAATAGAAGTTTGCTAATACTGTCTCACATATGGAATTTATGACTAATGAAGAGCTGGCTATGTTCAACCAGATGAGAATGCCATCACAACGTCCATCCACTAAAGAGCTTTCAACTTCTATATCTTCCTCAGAATATTTTGCCCAGATAGGTATTCCAATTACACGCATTTCTTCCTCTTCATGACTGTGAGTCAGTTTTTGGAAGCCTTATGCTTACTCATTGGGAAGTAACTGTTCGAATCATAAAATACCTAAATAGTAAATAATGCTACAAAGAAAGGGGTATTGTATGTCAAACACTAACACTTAAGAGTTGAAGCATTTTCCGGTGTTGAATGGTTCAGGTGATCAACAACAGGGTATTGTGCTTTTCTAGAAGATAATTTAGTTTTGTGAAGCAGGAAGCAAAGTGCCATATCAAGGTCTAGTGAGAAGTCTAAGTATAGGGCCATGGCTCATTCAAACTCTGAGATGTCATGGATAGAAGTTGGTACAAAGACAAGGTACTATTAAGCTTGTGGTGTGATAATCAGGTTGCTATTCACACGTAAAATCACCTTAAGAAGTTAATAGCGCGCAAAAATTTTCACCACAGGAAGGAGATATAATTAGATGTATGTTATTCATTAGAAAACCATCTTGTACTGACTATTAAATTAGTCAATCCAACCATTTAGCTTAGAACTAAACATTGTCAAGCCTTTTTGACCTACATTTCAACAAATCATAATGACATTTGACATATGATGCTCTAGGCTCCAAAAATCATTTAATAAACCATATTGCATTCAGGATCCTTATTTACCACCTAACTGATAATGACATACAATTAAAAAGTTACATACATATATATACGCCACTAAAAATCAAAAAATGACAAGCAAATACACGTATACAGTTTCACTATAAGATGAAAGGAATCATACAAAAAAGCAAAAACGAAAGGCAAAAGGAATCATTTGAGAAAATCAAAGGCAACTATTGAAAAATAAGTTTGAGCACCAAATTTGCAGGATACAACTAGAAAATACACAGGCAGGCATTTAGGAACAAATTCAGCTAAAAAGAAAGATGAAACAAGGAGGAAACCACGTGGTTTAGGTTTCCTTTCATAATTGTTAGGTATGATGACATTAAATACCAAGTTAGAAACACGGCATAAAAACAGCTTGAACATCGTACATTTGAAGCCACAATTAATGCTCCAAAAGAGAAACAATATTTATTTACAAACAACTGAACAAGAGAATCGATCCTGAGTCCCACACCTATGCTACTAAACTATAAACTACAAGTTCTGGAAGAGAAAAAACAATATTTGATTGAATAAACTCTTATAGTAACCTACGAAGAGCATCAGATAAACACAAAATCTCACGGCTCGAACCATGCGTAAACCTAATTAAACCAAAAACACATAAACACAGATCGACAAGAGTGCGAGACAAACACTAACGGCTTACGAGAACCACAACAAAAACAAGTAAAAGTAAAACAAGTAACGAAGGAATGCTCACTTTGTGCCTGAACGGAGGGTTGAAGCCATGACGAACTTGGGAGATCTAAGGCTGCTGCTCGCCATTGGCGGAAGAGCAAACGAAGAACACTTGTGAGACTGCAAGCTGAGGGAGTTGAGCTTGAGAGCCATTTTTCCGCTATTTTTCGGTATGCTTTTTCACGCTCCCTTTGTTTTCGTGAAGATTGGAACGTCTTTTTATTTGTGATTTTGGATGTGATTTTCAGGCTCGCCGTCCACCACACAGACGAGAAACAAATAAAGGACTGACTGGATGGCGAAGAATGCGAAGCAGGAGAGAGAAAGAGAGAAATGAGAGATCAGGGCTGTTGGTGGGACAGGTCACAGGTTGAAGCCAGTTTGGGTGGGGAGTTGGGGCTTTATTTTTTCGGTGCGATTTAATATTCTCATCACAATATATTGTATATGCCCCTGCAATTTTATTAAATTCCATAACATTACTTACACATATTTACATTACGTGACGTAATATTCCGTACCCTACCCTCCCAAAGACCCAAACCACGTAAAATCGTAAATTATTATAGTATTATACCGTACATTTGAGACTTGATGCAGCATCTCCATCAGTGGAGTTTGCTTGATTTTTGAATAAATTTAAGTTTATATGGAAGAGAAAAAGTGAAGAGAGAAAAGAAAACGAGTCTTTACAAGAGCTGTGATTTTTGAACTGAACATGTCCAGTGGGGCCCGCTTGGAAAAAATGGTTGCACCACATTTAGCGCAAATTATGTTGTGCAACTGTGTGCACCATGTATGGTGCACAAGGTTGCAAAAACGACGTCGTTTTGACTAAAAACGCGCGTCCTACTTAAAAAAAAAAAATCAAGTTCGATTCCCGACAATAGCATTTTTTGTGCATAATTTGAACTATATATCCACAAATTCATAATTATATATCCACAGTGAATGAATAATACAAAATCCAGAATGAATGAACTAACTATTCGTATAGTGTATTGGTAAATGGTGCACGAAGTGAGCAAATCAATCCAACTCGAGGTTTGAGACAAGGTGACCCATTGTCTCCCTATCTCTTTATTATTTGTGCTGAGGGGCTTTCATTATTGTTACAACAGGCGCAGTTAAGGGGGGAAATACATGGTTGTAGAGTAGCTAGAGGGGCCCCCTCCATCTCCCATCTGTTCTTTGCAGATGATAGTTTACTCTTCTTTAAAGCAAACGTCCAGAAGGCTAAGGTGATTAAACATTGTTTATCAGTATATGAGGAAATGTCTAGGCATGTGGTAAATTACCATAAATCAAGTATATGCTATAGTAAGAATACACGAGACGATGACAGGGAAGAGGTAGCCAATATTTTAGGGGTGGTGCAGGCTCCAAATTTTAGAAAGTATCTAGGGCTTCCGTCATTTGTGGGCAGGAATCGGAAAGCAGCATTCTCATATATTGAGGATAAGATTAGGCAAAGAATTGGGTCATGGAACAAGAAGTTACTATCGCAGGCAGGTAAGGAGGTCTTATTGAAAAGTGTGGCACAATCTATGCCCACCTTTTCAATGAGTGTCCTTTTATTGCCTATGAATGTTTGCACAACTTTGAGAGAACCATGAACCGGTATTGGTGGAGATCTAAAGATGACCAGGGCATCCACTGGAAAGCGTGGGATAAATTGTGTATCCCTAAAAAGTATGGGGGGTTGGGCTTTAAAGAGTTGCGTGCCTTTAATCTAGCTATGTTGGGGAAGCAGGCCTGACGGTTTCTTACGAAGCCTGAATCGTTGGTGTCAAGAGTATATAAAGCCAGGTATTATCCTAAAGGATCTTTTTTTTTTTATGCATATTTAGGGAATAACCCAAGTTTCTGTTGGCGTAGTATCATGGCGGCGCAGGAGTTATTGTGGAGGGGTTAGGCGCATGATTGGGGATGGAAAGTCAACCCTGATATGGGATCACCCATGCCTTCATGATGAGCACAATGCGAGAATAATTACTGAAAAACTACCACAGTTGGCACAAGCGACAGCTGTGGGTTTAATGGATCAGGAAACGGGAACATGGGATCATGACATCCTAACAGATATTTTTATTCCAACTGATGTGGCACGAATATTAAAGATATCTGTGTCACCGGATTATGAAGATATGTGGTATTGGTATGGAGACCCAAGGGGTGAATACTCGGTTAAAAATGGTTACAGACGAATAGTTAGAAATTATGTTCAGTCAATAGGGGTTTTTGACAAATGGCCCAAACTATGGAAACTCAAAGTACCCCCAAAATGGAAGACATTTCTGTGGAGAGCCTTGAATGATATATTACCCACTACGAAGAACCTGGTTATAAAGAGAGTGGAAATTGATCCAACTTGTGCTATGTGTGGGATCATGCATGAGGATACTATGCACTCCTTGGTCAGATGTGATTATACAATGAACATTTGGGCTCAATCTCACCTTCCAATCCTCAATAGTGTCACAAATATTTTCATGATTGGTTTAATGAAATATTGAATGTTCTAAATGATAATGAAATTATTTATGCAGTGGCACTACTATACTATATATGGCGAGCAAGAAACGGGGATGTATGGGATGCATGCTTACCCAGGCCTCAGACGATAATTGCTACTGTAACCACGGCGGTCAAAGCGTGGCAGCTTGCACACCCCATCCGTACGCACCAGCCTGGGGCTGCCACGATGAATGCCACCCACGCCCAGGTGACTACTGCCGACTCCACAGAGATCATGATGGCTATACCTCCAAACCGTGCGCCTTCTGCCATGCTAAGCTTGAACCATACGGCTACATCACTGCCCAAAGGCCATGGTGGCATGCGGAACCAATGTTATTTTGATGCGGCCTACTGCCATTAGACGAACAAAGCAGCTGTAGGGGCAATCCTCCTAGACGGACAAGGAATGTATATCTCAGCTCTACAGGCACCCATGATAGACTGTTTCTCTCCTCTTATGGCAGAAGCGTTTGCATGCAAAGAAGTTTTGTCCTGGCTATGCGATCATGGAGAACGATCGGTCGACCTCTTAACGGACTGTTTAACGCTTCAACAGTATTTATCACTTGCGATGGGTTCGCCTCGCTCGTATCTTGGCTATGCTATTGATAGTTGCAGAAACTGTATGGTTTCCTTAGATTACTGTTTGATCCGTTTTATTCCTAGATCAGATAATTACTTAGCTCATACTTTAGCATCTACCGCTTTTAATCAGTTTACTACTATGTATTCGGACTCTGATCCGCCAGACTCTATTTCAGCTTACTTCCAATAAATGCCGCACAGGCTCCTTTAAAAAAAAAAAGAACTAAATATCCACAATGAATGAACTAAATATCCACAATGAATGAACTGAATATCCATAAATTCATAACTATATATCCACAAATTCATAACTGTATATCTACAATAATGCTGTTGAGGGGAATCGAAATTGAATTTTTTTAAAATGGGACGCGCATTTCTAGTCAAAACGACGTCGTTTTGCAACCGTTGCACAGCATAACCATTGCCGCATTTAGCGCAACTTGAGTACCTAGAGGATGCGTAAAAGGTTATGTTTTTTTTTCCCCTTGGTTGGTTTCTTTATTATTTTTTTTTTTTCATTTGTTCTCTCTCTTCTCTTTCCTATCATCTTTTATTTTCTAGTTACAGATGCAAAAACTCCTAAAAAAACTACAACTAAACTAAAACGATATTTCCAAAGTTATTATCTTTCACTTTTTACTTTTTTCATTTATGTAGAAACTTTAATAATGAAAACATTCCGTTAACTATTTATTATTATTAACTTACTCATTGCCAAATATTTTTTATCATTTTAATAACAACAACAACAAACAACAATTGATGATGATGTACATTTTATTTTGATATTATTACTGTTGGTTTATGACTTTTGGGCAGTCAACGACTGGGTAACACTACTATTAAAATAACAAGTAAATGAGAAATATAAAAAGAATGTAGAGATAATATAAGTGTTGTATTGCTGAATATTGTGTCCTCTCCTCACATATGGGCTGTAAATTTGACTATTTTATACATATTTTGGGATAAAAACCCTACAAGGAATAGAAATTCTAGACGGTCTTATATTGGGCAATCCTTATACCATGGACAAGGGTTCACACTGCACTATGGACCCTGGTTCATGTGTATGTGTTTTGTGTTGTGACTTTTTGTATCTTGCGTTATGAAATTTTGTACCTTAAGAGTATTAATTTTGTACCTTATGTTATGAATTTGTGTCTTGTGTTGTGAAATTATGTGCCTATGAACACAAATTATGTACCTAAATTAGATTTGAAAAAAAAAAAAAAAGTAAATATAACACATGTATGTGTCTTATGTTATGATTTTATTATCTTGTATTATAAAATTATGTACCTTACGAGTATAAATTCGGTACCTTATCATTTCGACCAAGATCCATAATATATATAGAAGTCGGTTCTCGTGCGGGTGTGGGATTTAATCTGAACCAATGATCTTGCTTAGATCAAGGTCCAGGATTACCAAATTTTTAAACAAAAACGTGGTGGCAATTTGGTAATTTTTACATCTAAGTCAAATTTAAGGTGCGTAAGTTTTGTGTTTAAAGTGCATGAGATTTGTGCTTAAGGTGCGTGAGTTTTGTGCTTAATGTGCGTGAGTTTTGTGCTTAATCTGAGTAGTTGTTAAAATTTAAAGTGCGTGAGTTTTGTGCTTAAGGTGCGTGAGATTTGTGCATAAGATGCGTGAATTTTGTGTTTAATGTGCGTGAGTTTGTGCTTAAGGTGCATGGGTTTTGTGCTTAATGTGAGTAGTTGCTCAAATTTAAAGTGTGTGGATTTTGTGCTTAAGGTGCGTGAGATTTGTGGTTAATGTGCGTGGGTTTTGTGCTTAATGTGCGTCAGTTTGTGTTTAATGTGAGCCATTTTAAAATCTTAAGTCCGTGAATTTTGTGCTTAATGTGCTTTGTTCTGTGCTTAAAGTGCGTGGTTTATGTACTTAATGTGAGTGATTTGTGTTCTTAAGGTGTTTTGTTTGTGTGCTTAAGGTGCTGATTTGTATACTTAATGTGCGTCAAGTTAATGTTTAAGGTGCGTCTAACCGCACAACTGCACGGGAAGCATCGCCCGCACCTGAACCCTTCCCTAGGAATGGCATTCTTAGTGACAACTAATTACTCGCCACAATTATCATAAACTAGTGACAAAACTTGAAATCAACACAATTATTGTCACAATTTAGTAATTTTTGTTACGGAATTATAAAGCGTCACAAATATTTGTAACAATTTTATCACAAAAATACAATATTAGTGACAATAGTATTTTTTTTTTCTCACAATTGTTTCTCATTTCTATGATACTAACTAATTATATTTTTAT